TTTTTCTGGCACAAAGAGTACTTAATATAATCCTAAGGATCTTAAAGTGATTAACAAACTACTACAGGTTAAAAAAGTAAGGTGAACATTTTCTCTAGACAGTTGATCAATTTATGATACACTAACATGTTTGTCTGTGATCAGTATATGTCCATTGAAAACAATTGGTTATTTCACTTTTAATAGACCTGACATGTAAAATTCTGTGTAATATTTTGTGTATACCTCCGCATTTCAATATGACAACTTAAAGAACACCCCTCGTCAAAGAGTACGACACTTAAAGTACACCTCTTTTCAAGGAGTACAGCACGTAAAGTACACCTCTTGTCAAGGAGTAAAGCACATGAAGTACATCTCTCATCAAGGAGTATGACACATAAAGTACACCTCTTTTCAAGGAGTACAGCACGTAAAGTACACCTCTTGTCAAGGAGTAAAGCACATGAAGTACATCTCTCATCAAGGAGTATGACACATAAAGTACACCTCTTTTCAAGGAGTACAGCACGTAAAGTACACCTCTTGTCAAGGAGTACGACACATAAAGTACACCTCTTATCAAGGAGTATGACACATAAAGTACACCTCTCATCAAGGAGTACGACATGTAAAGTACACCTCTCGTCAAGGAGTACGACACATAAAGTACACCTCTTATCAAGGATTATGACACATAAAGTACACCTCTCATCAAGGAGTACGACACATAAAGTACACCTCTCATCAAGGAGTATGACACATAAAGTACACCTCTCATCAAGGAGTACGACACATAAAGTACACCTCTCATCAAGGAGTATGACACATAAAGTACACCTCTTATCAAGGAGTACGACATGTAAAGTACACCTCTCATCAAGGAGTACGACATGTAAAGTACACCTCTCATCAAGGAGTACGACATGTAAAGTACACCTCTCGTCAAGGAGTACGACACATAAAGTACACCTCTCATCAAGGAGTACGACACGTAAAGTACATCTCTCATCAAGGAGTATGACACATAAAGTACACCTCTCATCAAGGAGTACGACACATAAAGTACACCTCTCATCAAGGAGTCCGACACATAAAGTACACCTCTCATCAAGGAGTATGACACATAAAGTACACCTCTCATCAAGGAGTACGACACGTAAAGTACACCTCTCATCAAGGAGTATGACACATAAACCTCTCATCAAGGAGTACGACACATAAAGTACACCTCTCATCAAGGAGTCCGACACATAAAGTACACCTCTCATCAAGGAGTATGACACATAAAGTACACCTCTCATCAAGGAGTACGACACATAAAGTACACCTCTTGTCAAGGAGTAAAGCACATAAAGTACATCTCTCGTCAACGAGTACGACACATAAAGTACACCTCTCATCAAGGAGTATGACATGTAAAGTACACCTCTCATCAAGGAGTCCGACACATAAAGTACACCTCTCATCAAGGAGTACGACACATAAAGTACACCTCTCATCAAGGAGTACGACACATAAAGTACACCTCTCATCAAGGAGTATGACACATAAAGTACACCTCTCATCAAGGAGTACGACATGTAAAGTACACCTCTCATCAAGGAGTATGACACATAAAGTACACCTCTCCTCAAGGAGTACGACATGTAAAGTATACCTCTCATCAAGGAGCACAACACATAAAGTACACCTCTCGTCAAGGAGTACGACATGTAAAGTATACCTCTCATCAAGGAGTACGACACATAAAGTACACCTCTCGTCAAGGAGTATGACACATAAAGTACACCTCTCATCAATAAAGTACACCTCTCATCAAGGAGTATGACACATAAAGTACACCTCTCATCAAGGAGTATGACACATAAAGTACACCTCTCATCAAGGAGCACAACACATAAAGTACACCTCTCGTCAAGGAGTACGACACATAAAGTACACCTCTCATCAAGGAGTACGACATGTAAAGTACACCTCTCATCAAGGAGTATGACACATAAAGTACACCTCTCTACAAGGACAATGACACATAAAGTACACCTCTCATCAAGGAGTACGACACGTAAAGTACACCTCTCTACAAGGAGTACAGCACATAAAGTACACCTCTCTACAAGGAGTACAGCACATAAAGTACACCTCTCTACAAGGAGTATGACACATAAAGTACACCTCTCTACAAGGAGTATGACACATAAAGTACACCTCTCATCAAGGAGTATGACACATAAAGTACACCTCTGATCAAGGAGTACGACACATAAAGTACACCTCTCATCAAGGAGTATGACACATAAAGTACACCTCTCATCAAGGAGCACAACACATAAAGTACACCTCTCATCAAGGAGTATGACATGTAAAGTACACCTCTCATCAAGGAGTACGACATGTAAAGTACACCTCTCGTCAAGGAGTATGACACATAAAGTACACCTCTCATCAAGGAGCACAACACATAAAGTACACCTCTCATCAAGGAGTACGACATGTAAAGTACACCTCTCATCAAGGAGTACGACATGTAAAGTACACCTCTCATCAAGGAGTACGACATGTAAAGTACACCTCTAGTCAAGGAGTACGACACATAAAGTACACCTCTCGTCAAGGAGTATGACATGTAAAGTACACCTCTCATCAAGGAGTACGACACATAAAGTACACCTCTCATCAAGGAGTACGACATGTAAAGTACACCTCTCATCAAGGAGTATGACACATAAAGTACACCTCTACAAGGACAATGACACATAAAGTACACCTCTCATCAAGGAGTACGAAGGACACCTCTCTACGACACATAAAGTACACCTCTCATCAAGGAGTATGACACATAAAGTACACCTCTTGTCGAGGAGTATGACACATAAAGTACACCTCTCGTCAAGGAGTATGACACATAAAGTACACCTCTCATCAAGGAGTATGACACATAAAGTACACCTCTCATCAAGGAGTACACATAAGTACACCTCTCATCAAGGAGTACACACTATGACACATAAAGTACACCTCTCATCAAGGAGTATGACACATAAAGTACACCTCTCATCAAGGAGTATGACACATAAAGTACACCTCTCATCAAGGAGTATGACACATAAAGTACACCTCTCATCAAGGAGTACGACACATAAAGTACACCTCTCATCAATCAAGGAGTACGACATGTAAAGTACACCTCTCATCAAGGAGTACGACATGTAAAGTACACCTCTCATCAATAAAGTACACCTCTCATCAAGGAGTATGACACATAAAGTACACCTCTCATCAAGGAGTACGACATGTAAAGTACACCTCTCATCAAGGAGTACGACATGTAAAGTACACCTCTCATCAAGGAGTACGACACATAAAGTACACCTCTCGTCAAGGAGTACGACACATAAAGTACACCTCTTATCAAGGAGTACGACACATAAAGTACACCTCTCATCAAGGAAAGTACACCTCTCATCAAGGAGTACGACACATAAAGTACACCTCTTATCAAGGAGTACGACACATAAAGTACACCTCTCATCAAGGAGTACGACACATAAAGTACACCTCTCGTCAAGGAGTACGACACATAAAGTACACCTCTTATCAAGGAGCACAACACATAAAGTACAACTCTCATCAAGGAGTCAAGGAGTATGACACATAAAGTACACCTCTCATCAAGGAGTACGACATGTAAAGTACACCTCTCATCAAGGAGTACGACACATAAAGTACACCTCTCATCAAGGAGTACGACACATAAAGTACACCTCTCATCAAGGAGTATGACACATAAAGTACACCTCTCATCAAGGAGTACGACACATAAAGTACACCTCTCATCAAGGAGTAAGACACATAAAGTACACCTCTCATCAAGGAGTACGACACATAAAGTACACCTCTCATCAAGGAGTATGACACATAAAGTACACCTCTCATCAAGGAGTATGACACATAAAGTACACCTCTCATCAAGGAGTACGACACATAAAGTATACCTCTCATCAAGGAGTACGACATGTAAAGTACACCTCTCATCAAGGAGTATGACACATAAAGTACACCTCTCATCATGGAGTATGACACATAAAGTACACCTCTTATCAAGGAGTACGACATGTAAAGTACACCTCTTATCAAGGAGTACGACATGTAAAGTACACCTCTCATCAAGGAGTACGACATGTAAAGTACACCTCTCATCAAGGAGTACGACATGTAAAGTACACCTCTCATCAAGGAGTATGACATGTAAAGTACACCTCTCATCAAGGAGTACAGCACATAAAGTACACCTCTCATCAAGGAGTATAACATGTAAAGTACACCTCTCATCAAGGAGTATAACATGTAAAGTACACCTCTCATCAAGGAGTACGACATGTAAAGTACACCTCTCATCAAGGAGTACGACACATAAAGTACACCTCTCCTCAAGGAGTATGACACACAAAGTACACCTCTCATCAAGGAGTACGACATGTAAAGTACACCTCTCATCAAGGAGTATGACACACAAAGTACACCTCTCATCAAGGAGTATGACACACAAAGTACACCTCTTATCAAGGAGTACGACACGTAAAGTACACCTCTTAATATAAACACTCACAGTATGCCTCTCATCAAATTGAACGACCACTTAATGTACATTTCAAATCAAGGGTAATTTCATTTCATTGAACTAGAAAAAAATCTTATCAGACGAATGCAATGTATGAAAGGGTCCACATATTTCTTGTTCAGTAGAATGCTTTCTCACGGTCTATATCAATAGTAAATGGCAGCCTGAACTGTATAGACAACAATATGGATGCATTGCTCTGAGAATAAACTAAATAGGTTAATGATACGGATCACTGGATTGCTATGTTGGTTTTTTTCAGTGACAAAGAGCCAGTATATTAACAAATCAATGGCCTCATGACCACAGTAAAACAACAAAATATGCTTCAATATCTAAAAAATACTCACACTAAACACTAATATGTTTGATGTTTGAGGAAAAGTGATTAAAACAGGTCCTACCTGTCTGAAGCTGCAGCCAACTTGTTGTGTTGATTCAGGGCATCAGTTACACATTCCTCCAACATCCTTATCTGCGCCTCACTGTACACAATTTGCAAAAAAAAAAAAAAAGGAATTAGTAAACAAGATACTATTTTGTATTGCATCACATTACATCCTTGTGTATCATATCAACTTATTTACTGAAAAAGTACTTCAATATTCAATCAATTTTTATCAAGCTCTGAAAATCTGAAAAATGAAAAACTTTGTAATCATTTAGCAATGACTCCCCAATCAATAATATCCAGAAAGTATCAGAAATTATACAAAAAGATATTTTGATACTCTTTTTGAAATATATGGCTTCACTGAATAACATCATGCACTCAAATGATATTATTATTATTATTATTAATATCATTACATTCTTAATGGCCCGTCAACACATAAAAGGTCATTAGGGCCATCAAACAGTAAAACACACAGCAATCCAAAAGGAAATAACATTAAAGAAACTAAAAAGGTAAAAGACAAATGTAAGAAAATCTTAAATGTGTATGTTAACACAAAAGATTAAAATGGTACGTCATAGTCTATTATATAGACCAATATCTTTCAGGTAATGTAGAATTTTACAAATCTCAACAGTTTCAAAAAGGGATTTCAGACATGTAATGTTACGATAAAAACATTCTCGAGAAGACAGAAGGTCAATGCAGTCCAATAAAAAATGTTGAAATTGAATTTTTAAGCATATCAAAGTGTTAGCATCATACCGCAATATGTATTGTATCGTGAGTTATATGCATCTTTGCAGCCCTAATCTGAATGGAAATCACCTTGGCAACAATGTCAAAACAACTTAATATTTAATTACATACCTTGTACACGTACTTGGTCAGAAGAAAAGTAAAGTCTACCTTATATCTAAGAAACACTTAAAATACAACTTAATTGGCAACATGTCACTTGTCTCAATTTAAATCAGATTTAATCAGTAAACTTCACTTAAATACCTACGTAACTTCAAACTAAAACTTGACTGCTAATTTATTGGCCTGTAGTAAGCCCTGCTGCCCCGTCCCCTCCCTCCTAATACCAACCCTCCACTTCCTAACCCCCACTATAATCCAGAGTTGACATGCAGTATTGAAATATTATCCTTTTTATTGTAGTTCATGGTCTTTTGACACATCAAGGTATCTAATGTATAATAACAAAGGTCCGTAACCTTTTATCATCTGCTTAAGTAAACTTTTAGTCTACATACCTTTTGACGGACGTTAGACAGATGATGCGTCCCCTGTTCTGGATCACATCCATATCTTCGGCCTGAATCTCTGTTGGTTCACACATGATCTCGATGGCATGTGACAGACCATGCATCATACTGTAATCATCCTCTTTACTTCTGGGGTTGGGAGGTCCAATTTGACCCAAGCCCAGCATCACCTGGTGACCAAAATTTACATATATCACTCAAAATAAAAACAGTATTTTAAACTCTTTTATAACCTGATGTGTTTCTTATTCTTTAAACCTGATGTGAAATGAAATGACTGATCGTTTACAGAAAGATTAAAGAATAAAACACAAAATATTCTTTATCGATTTTAAGATATTATATAATATTAAACATAGCATAAAAAAGTAAAGGTAAACAGATTTCTCCTTCTCCCCTAGGTTTTTCAACCTACCCAGATATTGGTTTTACCTCTTATCAAACACAGTAAATGGATTTAAACCTATCGTCTTCTCCATGGTACCATGCTCTATATGAGTTATCTCCCCTTACTTATTTTAAAATCTGATTAGCTGTAAATATTTAATGGTATTTATTGTAAGTTTATGGATTTAGTATTTGCTTCATCAGGACAGAAAATTGCTATAAATATGAAAGTTCATTGTGACAACACTACAGTTCCTAATTAGCTTTGAAGTTGTATACAGAGTGTTATAAAGTTTCCAGTGTATATCTTGTTCACTTTTGAAACAGTTAATAACATCACATGTTCTGGTAAGTTATTTCACACCTTCACAGGTCTTAGTAGAAAACTAGTTTTTTTCTACATTGCCTTACACTGCTGAGAATATATTATCAAAGAAAATTCCTTGTTTCTGAATAGATTTGACATATATGGAATACCTATATGTATATACTACAACCCTACATAGGTTAAATATTGATAAGATGAGTATATTCCTTCTCCATACATTTTGAATGGACCTGTAATACAAGTAATAAAAAAGGTACTTAATGTTTAGGATTCAGACTAATTAATGACCATCTTCATCAAGAAAACAATAAGCTAGAACTCAATTCAACAGAACAATCACCACCTCCGCAGAAAATTATTCAAATTAAGAAATAAACAGAATTCTTAATATTTCAATGCCAAAAATCAGAGTGGTTGGTCTTCAATTTAGTGAAAACTGAAACTTCTCATTTTTTTAAAAAAAATTTATCTTGAAATCATTACATCACATCACCAGCTTGGAAATTATGAAAACAGGATTGTTTGATAATTTGTCACACAATCCCTGTACTACTAAGAGATACACCAATTTATACCATATTCATTGGTTACTGGCTAGTGTTATGGTATGCAGTCCAACTTTTCTCCCCATATTTTTTAAAAATAAAGAATCAATAAAAGAAAAGTTTGGTAACAGGTATGGAACATAATAAACTTACTTTAAGATATTTTACAAGAAAATTGAAGTCTAGGCAATACAAGAAGGGAGATAACCCCTATATAAAAGTATGAGTAGAAATATTTCATTTTTTTCCAGAGCCATTCGAGCTTTAGAAAATGGGGCTTTGATTTCTTTGAAATAAATGCACAACCATCTGCACTCAGGGCTGACTGTCAACAAATGGTACATTGGACAATGACATAAACATCAACATATTTTTTACATTTTGTTAAAACTACTATTTTTGGGTGCATCCTAATGCTTCAATTGGGGAAAATATTATGGTATTAATAATGGGCAGACCTCTGTTTTCCATCCCAAGTCTTGTAAAACAGAAACCAAAATAACAAGAAATTAAAACAAAAGAAATATATTTGAGAATTAACCAATATACTCCATTACATACATGTTGGATGTTCTGATCCTTCTGTGTCCAACCATTCAGTGACTGTGATCCTGTCACAACTCGTATCTAAACAAAAAAAAACATATATACCTGTATTACATAAATAAATATTTTTGGCTACTGCAGCACAGACTTTTTCAGGGTCATACAAATTATCAACTAGATGAGGAAAAAACCTAAAAAGGTACATATTCAACTATCCATTAGAGTATACTAAAAGTCTAGCAGATTTGTAAGTGTGATAGCTTTGTTATATCAATGAATAATCAATGGCTGAACATTAAACAGTAGTCACCCACTGTGATATGATCTTTTCAGTGGGTGTACCTGATGAGAGTCCTGAGAGGAATGAGTGTCCTGAGACAATTTTTGTGCCCAGCAGTTCATTCACTGAGATTTTTAAATAGTTCTTTTTGTATTCTATACTTGACACTCGTGTGTAACAGCATGCAAAAAAAATTCTAATTAATCAACTACAAAGTAATGAAATGCACCACTGAAGTAAACGCAGTGTGCACACTAATACTATATAGGACTATCACATTTAAGTAAGTGTCCTGCATGATTTTTGCTTGCATTTAAATTGGTTAATGAAGATTCAGTACTTACATGAATGATGTTTTTGCATGTTTGACATGACTTTCAAGTGTACAATAATTTTTTTTTAAATCTTTATTAACAAAATAATAGGTATGCAAAAACCTTGCAGGACACTGATCACTTCTCCTTGGTAACCCTATATAATGTGTTACATTTTTAAATTCCATGTTAACATCAGCTGTATATTTATTATTATTATTATTATTATTATGTTTATTCAGGCAAAGGCATAATAAAATTACACATTACAAATATTACATAAGCAATTCCATAACAATTAAAATCAGTAATAAATTGTTGTGGATTTCTTAAAATTATTAATTATAAGATATAAAATATCACAGAAGAATTTCACATACCTTAAAATATCACAATTTAAACTAGTATCGCAGAAATTAAATTACACTGTGCTTGCAAATCTTCTAAGTAAAATAGTTGAAAATTTTAGAAATATCAATAAAAAAGAGAGAAATTTGATAAAACCAGATGAAAATGCCTTTGGCCTTTGATTACCCATAAAGCCTATAAAATAGGCTTATTTGCGATGGGGTCCATTTAAGGTGTAATCATTCCGGTTGAGATGTAAAGCCATGGAAAATGAGATTGAATTAATTTTCGCAGCATTAACTATAAATGAAACAGAGCACTACATTTGAATGAAAATTACATAGAAGATATGAAAAACAAATACTGAAAGTGAATAAAATGTTTTGGCACATTTCAGGGCATTTATGAAAAAGGATGGGATTTGAAGAGATATTACATAATAATATAATATGAACAATAATATAACATAATATGAACAATAATATAACATCACTACCCGTTCAACCAGACGCAAAGAAGTGGAGGTTGAGCTCAATAGTAGACGAAGGGGTTGTCAAATTCGCCTTTTGATTGTAGCATCAGAAATTGTTTTACTTTGTTTTTAAAATAATATTCATTTTTAGAATTTTTAATATTTTCTGGAAGGGAATTCCAATCTTTTGTGGCTGAAGTAGAAAAGGACGAACTTTCTATGCTTTTAACGTTTTTTATCGAGAAGTTCATCGTTCCAGATCTAGTACCACAACAGTTTTTTTTTTAGAGAGAAAAGTTCATATAATATTGTGGACATTTACCATTATAGATGTTAAAAGTATGGTTGAGGCGAAGTTGACGGACCCTTCGTTCTACATTTAGCATGCCTAGTTTTTCTAATTCAGTGACAGTGATCCTTGATTTCAATACTTTGTAGTCAATCATTCAGAACACAGACTTTGAACATATTCTAAGATTGTGATCAGAATGATTTGTACCTGTTGTTTGACATGGGTGTCAAGTGTATTATACAAAAACAATTATTGAAATATTTCAAATAATGAACTGCTTGGCGAAAAAATTGTCCTGGGACAACAATTCCTCTCAGAACACTCCAAGGCGACAAAACATTATGCGTACAAAAAAATAAAGTATGCAACACAAGGTGACAGTCAACACAATTAAACTTACCAGTTTTTTAGAAGGAAATATATCGTAAACAATACGCATATATTCTGCCATAACTTCTACGTTACATGTCCACAGCGATTTCATGATCGGTGCTGCTGGTATAATCCCAGGGGTTCTCGTTTTCGACATAACATCGTACTCTATGCTTTGATTACAAGATGAAGCAAACAATGGACTTCGGTCCAGAACAAAAACTGTTTTGTGGTCTACTGGGAAAGTCATGTTTTCTTTTTTCACTTTCTTCTGTTTAACTCCTAATTGAAATAATCGCACACAAAAAAGTCGTCTGCTATAAAACCGGCATAAACATTGTTAAAGTAAACACTTAAACAAAGCAGCGGTTTATCAGCATGCAATCATTTCTAGAAAGAAATTCAGTTCACAATATATTCATGAAAACGACAAACACGGTGTCATGTTCTAGTAACACACTTATTTCAGTATTTAGTAATCGTGATTACCACAATGTAATTTCGCGCACTTGTTTTGTGGGGGCTTCCATCTTGAAAATGCCCGGATACAACAATAACCACAATGTAGAAAAAATATTGTGTAATCGTTTTGAAATATTTATTATGTGTATTTTGAAATTAAAATGATTAAACACTTCAAATTATTTAACCACGTAAAACATTGAATAATTCAACGTATATTTTTAAAATCCACTTCCGGTCAGTTTCCAAAGCAACAACAAAGCCAAGATGTCTACCGCAGGAGATGTAAATTCACGGGATGGAGAAGCAAGGCAATATCTTGAAAGCCATCGAGTATTGGAATTATTTAACAACTTGACATCACAGCTCATTTACAACAGGCCAGGTGAAAATCAATTTTTATCAGTTTTCTTCATAATCGTTATTTTTCAAAGCCAAATTTGCTGAAGTAAAAAATGTAGCCATTTCGTCCCATTCATAATTATATGTCCGAACTGTCTGAAATACACACGCTTAAATACAAATTGCATGCCTTTATATCATATTGACTATGGAAGTTATATTCTCCAATGTCGTTTTAACTACGGACTAACCCATTGTTTTTCATTTTGTTTACATTATAACTTCATATTTCCAAATTTTAAGAGTAGCAGTTATGATTGAACAGGGATGACCCCTCCTTCCTGAAAATGTACAAAGAAAAGTCACGAAAAGAAAATAACTGAAAAAAGGAAATAAATACACACATACATGAAAAATCACAACCATATTTACATATCATAAATTTTACTCTATAATAGGATAATATAGAATAGTCCTTCTTACACTATAAAAAAACTTAACTTGCTCCAAAACTTTAACGAAACTCCAGAGATGTACAACACTGTATTATCATACATCTTTGGTATCACTCACTAAAATTTTTAACAAAATCTAAACAACTCTTTTTTGGCCCCATTAATGTTTCAAATATTGTTTGGCATATTTACAATACTATTTGGCAATCAACAGCTTCTTGATGGTGCTTATACAGTTATGTGAGGGGAAGAAACCTAAAAGTTCTCAAAAAGTAAACATAAGATTTGCTCCCAAATTTTCAAAGAATGCTTTTACTTCAGATCATAGTAAAAATCCAGTGCTGCTTAAAAATATATCCAAAAACGTTTTGATATGGGAAGTTGATACTGTTGACCACATGGTAACTATATAAGTCCCTGATTCTTTCACTAGCTATTAAGAACTTTTTGTGAAAATACCTTTATACTTCTTAACAGAAACAAGACTAAGATGTTATTCATTTTAACATAAAATGTCACATGGGAAGAGAGAGAAAAAACTATGGTTCGAGGATTAGAATACAGAACTAAAATCCATACTCTGTAACGGACATCTCAACTTGTTCTACTAAATACACTTTCAGGTTCTGTGCAGTTGAATTGATAAAGCACTTCTGTTTTTTTTCCAGAGGAGCCAAAAAATTTTATGATAGATGTTTTAGAAAAGCTTCAAAAGGCCAAAATGACAAAAATGGATTTTCCTTGTCTGTTTGATGATACAAACATCCAGTCTGTTTTTGGCATGTTAGACCCAACCAATCGCGGTTGCATCACCGCTCAGCAGTATTCAGCAGGTAATCTTTCAGATATCAGTTTTTTTTTTCATATCTCAAAAGGAAATTGGAAAAACTAGTATTGAAAAATCAGCCATTTATCTAAACAGTTATAAATTCTGTCTCTGAATCTGTTTAATTGCTTTCTACTTAAATTATTCAGGACTACACTGATGATCATACTTATAAAGACAGAGGACATGTTATCTCTAATGAGGGTTTTTATTTTCACAGCTTTTAATATATTATTCATATTGTTAAATTAACTGTTTCAAGAACTGCATGAAATACATGTACATGCTAGCCTAAAGGATGTACATTAGTTTATGTTTTGCTGATTGTTAGTGGTTTCATACATGATTTTGTATTTTTAGCTCTGACGACGCTGGGTGTGAAAAATTTCGACGAAAGTCCAGAAGGATCTTCAGATGATAGAATAACATTTGAAACATTCCTGAAAGAAGCGTATGTCTTTTTAATTTTGAAATATATATCTATATGTGTGTATCTCAATAAGCAAATTAAACAAAACTGTGACTACAATGTAGTTTGAATACTGTAACTGTAGAAATTTTCGTGGGGGGTAAATTTCATGATTTCTACTGGTAAACTATATGCATGGGGGTTATTTTCGTGACAAATTTTCATTTGATTTCATTGTTAAAATTTAAGCACATCACATAATACTACCTGCAGGGGAAATTTCCCCCGATCTAGCAACCTTCCTGTAATTGAAATTTCCATGTTTATAACATCAATAATTTGTGATTTAAACATGAAATTTTTAAGCTGAAATTAAACAAATTTTAATGCTGCAGAATACAAATTCTACATGATCACAGACTGCTGCAAACATGCCAAATATCTGCTGATTATTTTTCATGTGTATTGTTTGCATGGCTACGGCAAAATCAGGAACAAATTTCAGTTTTCTATTAACAAGTAGTATCAACTGTTGTTAATATCTTGTAAGTAGTTATAATCAAAATATTTTTGGTTTTCAGACGGAAAGGACTATCCGAAGCATCGGCTACGTTTGAGAACAGTTAAAGACAACAGACAATATGAAAATCATTGTAAATATTCACAGTGACGGAACATTGATTACAGTTCATCGACATTCATATCTCAACATGTTATAAATATTAAATGTAATTTATATCTTAAATATGTTGTACTTCTCATTGATCTACGTTTCATTTATCTTTTTTTGACATGTTGAAATTGTATGTAATATGGCATGTCAGCTACACTGTATTTATTTTAGAATCAAAGTCTATGGTGTGTGTTTCATATTAAATCTGAATTGGTATAGGTTCCTTATATAATGTATATAAGTAATTGAAGTAGTTTACATGCTTTTTTTGTATACCCTGAAAAACATTTTCAGTATGACATTGCTGGCATGCCATATACTAAACTAGGGTGATTTTTAGTCCAAATTATTCTGTCTTCCCATCAAGACTTAAGAACTTAAGAATTTAACTCCAAACTAATATAAATATGCAATAGAATGGCAGAATTATTTGGACTAGGTATTTCTATATACAAGGAACATTGTTTTTATTATTATTCCATAGATAAAGTGCAATTTCTTGTATTAAGGAACTTCACACACACATATATATATATATATGCATGTTGGTTTCTGTAAACATAAAAAATACAAATGATATGGTGAATCGTTTTAGCTATTAAAAGCTTAGTGAAATATGTTTTTACTTGATTAGTTAGAGAGAAAGAGGCCGACCTCACATATGGGTAATAGATTTGTATTTGGGGGATAGTTCCTACTGATGAACACTTGGGTGGAAAGTACTGTGACGAGATGGTAAAAATATTACCGGACATTTCAACAAAAGTACAGTCTTATTAGATGGAAAGAAGTGTGTCTTGTGATCTTCATGTGTCTTGTGATTGCGATCTAAAAAACAGTGAAACTAAGTTCAATGCGACTGGTGTTAAGTCTATAGAATTGGACTCATGCTGAACTGAATTATGTACTGGAGAGATTGAGCAGAAGATAATCAGTTGCCTCCACTATACACTAGTAGATATATCTAGATCTTTTTGTTGAAGTGTTGCCAACTCACTAGACACCTATGGAAATATCTAGATCTTTAGCCCACCATCATCATATTCGATTTTGGGTTTGATGAAAAAAACAAAATGGCCGAAAGGCGACAATCTTGGATTTTGAATTTGAAAGCTTGTTATCACTATTTCTTGAGAATTACTCTATAGATCTTCCTCATATTTCATGTATCGGTACCTTTTGATCCCTAGTTGTGCCTGTTTGAGTTTGGGACATCTTGGAATTTGCCTGGTAAAGATTGTTATTACTATTTCTTAAGAAGTACTGAATAGATATCTCTCAAATTGCATACGTATGTCCATGTACTTGTTTGCTTTTTAGGACTGATCAGAAAAAAAAATGGCTTCCAGGTAGCCACTTTGGATTTGGCAGGTAAAGACTATCATGGCTATATCTACAAAGGAATGTTCAATTGTCTTATCATTAAGAGCAAAACATAGAAAGAGAAAAGAAAGGAAAATATCCAACATTTAAAGAACAAATAAAGGACGATGAATGATGGGTGCCAAGATCCCACTGGGATATAATTCTGTTGTAGTGTCACCAATTCATTAGACACCTGTGGAGATATCTAGGTCTTTCTGTTGTAGTGTCTCCAGCTCATTAGACACCTGTGGAGATATCTAGGTCTTTCTGTTGTAGTCTCTCCAGCTCATTAGACACCTGTGGGCATATCTAGGTCTTTCTGTTGTAGTGTCGCCAGCTCATTAGGCACATGTGGAGATATCTAGATCTTTCTGTTGTAGTGTCGCCAGCTCATTAGACACCTGTGGAGATATCTTGATCTTTCTGTGGTAGTGTCACCAATTCATTAGACACCTGTGGAGATATCTAGGTCTTTCTGTTGTAGTGTCGCCTGCTCATTAGACACCTGTGGACATATCTAGATCTTTCTGTTGTAGTGTCACCAATTCATTAGACACCTGTGGAGATATCTAGGTCTTTCTGTTGTAGTGTCTCCAGCTCATTAGACACCTGTGGAGATATCTAGGTCTTTCTGTTGTAGTGTCTCCAGCTCATTAGACACATGTGGAGATATCTAGGTCTTTTTGTTGTAGTGTTGCCTGCTCATTAGACACCTGTAGACATATCTAGATCTTTCTGTTGTAGTGTCACCAATTCATTAGACACCTGTGGAGATATCTAGGTCTTTCTGTTGTAGTGTCGCCTGCTCATTAGACACCTGTGGACATATCTAGATCTTTCTGTTGTAGTGTCACCAATTCATTAGACACCTGTGGAGATATCTAGGTCTTTCTGTTGTAGTGTCTCCAGCTCATTAGACACCTGTGGAGATATCTAGGTCTTTCTGTTGTAGTGTCTCCAGCTCATTAGACACCTGTGGAGATATCTAGGTCTTTTTGTTGTAGTGTTGCCTGCTCATTAGACACCTGTGGAGATATCTAGGTCTTTCTGTTGTAGTGTCTCCAGCTCATTAGACACATGTGGATATATCTTGATCTTTCTGTTGTAGTGTCTCCAGCTCATTAGACACCTGTGGAGATATCTAGGTCTTTCTGTTGTAGTGTCTCCAGCTCATTAGACACATGTGGAGATATCTAGGTCTTTTTGTTGTAGTGTTGCCTGCTCATTAGACACCTGTGGAGATATCTAGGTCTTTCTGTTGTAGTGTCTCCAGCTCATTAGACACATGTGGAGATATCTTGATCTTTCTGTTGTAGTGTCTCCAGCTCATTAGACACCTGTGGAGATATCTAGGTCTTTCTGTTGTAGTGTCTCCAGCTCATTAGACACCTGTGGAGATATCTAGGTCTTTCTGTTGTAGTGTCTCCAGCTCATTAGACACCTGTGGACATATCTAGATCTTTCTGTTGTAGTGTCGCCAGCTCATTAGACACATGTGGAGATATCTAGGTCTTTCTGTTATAGTGTCTCCAGCTCATTAGACACCTGTGGAGATATCTAGATCTTTCTGTTGTAGTGTCGCCTGCTCATTAGACACCTGTGGAGATATCTAGATCTTTCTGTTGTAGCGTCGCCAGTTGCAACTCTTATGATTTCGTTAGGTCAACCTGATATTGGCACTCATGAACTACTGAAATATTGAAATATGCTAGAATCACCTGGTATTTCATAAGTTTTGATCAGTATCTACAAGTTTCTAATTCAATTTTTTAATCTTATATTCACACAAATTTCACTTATTGAAAATCATCTTAACGCATACAGATGTGATAACTGTACAAAACAATTGATCATGTGGTCTTTTTACCCGATAACCCTATGAAACACCTTGTCACCCTTGGTCGTAAAGGGCCAGATATTTTTGGACAAGAGGATGGCGAGACTGCTATCGATAACATACTTAATAGAAATATACTGCTCGGACTCGGATGTTTTTGCAGTTTACAGAATGAGATATCAATTATATGAGAAATATGTAAACCAATTCATTATCGAAATACTAAGGAAGCTCTTTTGTTATCTACACCAGAAAAAAGACCCTACTTGATGTAAGTGAAGGCGTCTCTATATCTTATGTTGAATTCCTTTACGAAGGCCCTTTTTGTTTTGAGAACTCGTACAAACTGCTCAGGAACATAGCATATATTTAGCTTAGAGGATATCTACAATAATCTTTAACGAAAGGATTGTCTTGAGTGTCCAACATGTCTGTCTAGTACTTGCTGTAATGTTCCGTTAGCTAAGCACAACACACAGAAAATCATAGGTAAGATATCATCCCTGCAGAAAAGAAAAGACTAAAGGGGCCAGGATGGTACGAGACAAGTGAAAAGGACCGAGGTATCAGCAGAGCCATACATGTCTTTCAAGGACTCTCCAATGATCCTGGGATCTAATGAGACTTAAAAGACGCTTCAGAAAAATCGAAGCGAACAATCCATCAAATAGGTACATAAAATTTATCGATGGCGGGTCGATATCGGAATTCGGAATAGGTGACCCTTTTTTCTGACCGACCCAAGAAAAACGAGAGAGAATAATTCTCGGAATAAGTATTGGCTGTTTAACCTCAGTCCCTTAGACGGTTATGATCTCTCTGACACAATTAAAAGGAATCGTGGTGCACCAGAGCAGGATTGAGTAGTTTAGTGGGGTTGTCGCTCCTATTTTTGTCAGAATCAAAGAAAGTTTACTAGTGATTTAGCGGTTGAGTCTGTATTTTAGAAACCCTATGTTAAGGCCATCTTAACCATTTATAGATATTTTCTTTTAAATACATTAATGATGATTTAGATGAGACTCAGTTTTAAACAAAATGTATCCTGTGTTCTGGATGCCTACTCATCAACAAAACTTTCGCTTGTCAAAGTTGACAATACATTTTCCCCAAAATGTAAAAAATAAAAACATTATGCTACCGGAGAATAGAGCTAATGCCATGATTATTAGTAAAAGTGTATTGAGTTCCCGACACCTTCACCGGTATGCAGGGCGAATGAAGGATAGGATCAAACAACGAGATTTATCAGTCACACTATTTATCTAAAACCAGACGGCAGTCTGGGTAGCAGGATATTCTCCCACCAACGCTTTCCGTCACCTACACTATCAGAGTTGTCACCCGAAACATTAAAAAAACAGTATCCAGTACTCACAGGCATTACATATTAAACGTATATGTAGCGATTTTATGTTATTAGGCGAAAAATGATGTAATAATAATCATATTTCGCTGTTTGTGAACAGATATAAAGGAGATGAGAAATCAAGATGTGTACAAGAAACAATAGCTTCAATATAACCAGAGACGTATATATGTCTTGATTTAACTAATCCGTGTCACCGTTTTGGTAACAATTTAGAAGGCTTACTTCTTACCATCTAATTTAAGCGTCTTAGACTATTCTCTGCAATATTTGTCTATGGATTGTGAGACTGATAGGATAATTATATAATACCGATGGTAATACTACCAGCAATCAGGCAAATAAGCCGTTTGTACAAAATTTTCGAGATCAAATCTAATGCACAAGGGGTCTTATTGTGGGAAGAAACCAGAAAACCAGGGAAACAAACTCACGTGGTCAGGAAGGTGATTCCCGGAGAATCGAAGGTCTTTATGAAAGACAATAGCATTATCACCTCGCAAAGTGACCACTCATGTTTGGTTTTTGTTTCTTCTCCTATCTTTGGATGAAATCTATATAGTTCTATAAATTTGGTGCAATTCAATGGTCCAAACATTTACATTCGGTCTGTTTGTTGTGTAGTTATGATGAGTTCTATGAAATCCTTTTTTGGGGGTACATCAATTTTTCCTTTTAATGTTAAGGGTACGGACCTCCTCCGATTAGATTTGATTCCTAAACTTCACAAAAATCTATATAAACAGCATATTTTGCTGGCTCGTCTAGCTGATCACCCAAGCCTTTGTCCATACTTCTTACTACCATTCACGGTGCTATGTAATCTTGGTTACAGTCTCGTTGTAATACCTTTTGCTCAAGAAGTGGAATTAATGTTATGTGGATCTTGAAGGACTCCAAAGTGTTTGTGACCGATCTTCAATGCACTATTCTATAAAATCATTTCTTCTGTAGAAACATTTGAATTTTCGATGCTGTGCACCCCCGTACCATATTCTTCACTGAAAGAAAGCCTTCAGTCTTCTTGTTTTTAGGACTTTCTTTTCCAAGAAAGGTGAACGGCGGTACAAATATATGGTTGTGAATATACTGCAACACGTCCAAATCAAAGAAATATATGGAGTACCACATCATAAAAATTATCAAATTTCTAGTTGACAATCTTCCAAAAGATTATTGGTATACCTATTGGAACTGACTGTACCCCTCATACAAGGCTGAATCTTCTGAAAGGCTTATCAAAACAGGTAATTTCCCTTCAAGTTATATTGCTGACGTCTTGCCTTTAAATGACAAGAAATGTATTGACCACGTCGTATATAACCACCAAATTTTGAAATCAAAGATACGACAGCTGACGGAGGACTCGTTGTAAGGTCATCTGCATTCAGTTGCTGACGCGTTTGTTTGTATTTTAAAAGTTAGGAAGCAAGGGGCTTGAAGTAACTGTAGGTAATTACGGTGGAATGTTAGTTTGAACAAACTTCTGGCGTAAAATATTGCTGATGTTAAGGAATCCAATCCCTTTAGTTGCTGACTCAATTTTCGTAAATTGGCGATATTGCTGGAGGATCATGGCTATCTGTGCGGATAGATTTAAAAATAATAAAAAAAACCCTGATTTGTGCCACATCATCAATAATTTTATGAAGTCGCTTGCTAGCTTCTACATGCCATCAGAATCAATATTAGGAGAATCCATCTGAAGTTTTCGTAAAACAGAGAAGCGAGTATAACGTTGTTCGAATATGGTGGACACTTGGTGGTTCTTATGTAAATTTTCCAGTAGATTTTCAAACGTGACAGTACATCCGCTAGATTTATTTAATGCGTCTGTCCATGTCTATGATTAGTCTAGTTTGAGGCGTGAATAAAACCATAACATAACATAAATCTGCCACAAAGCGGATCAATACAGCCATATTGCGCAGCAGTGCCAAGGAGTCTAATATAGTGTTCCTCACTTTGTCTACGGTAGGGTGGTACAAATATGAAATAAAAGACTCACGATACAATGTAGCATTTTTATTGGTATAAGAAATAACATCGTACTTTTCTTTTAATACTTATGCGTTATACAGAACGTTAAAATAATAAAGCTAGCTATTAACAAATAGATGAACGAGAGCGGATGGCTCGAAATTTTCATAATATCACTGTTGCCAAGCGAATCTTAGCGGGTCAAAATAACACTTCTTTACATTCATATACTTTTACACTTGTAACGATTCATGTCATCAAGCCTTCAATTGATATTTTTATATCTGAATTGTACACATCCTTTTACTCAACTTCTCCATTTTTCATTATCTGTCTCTCTGTCTGGTATTTAGGCAATACCTTGAAAGTTAGTTATGTGCAATTCTATTCTACTTCTACTTATCCTGCGTTTCCGCTTTCCCTCTTTGTTATGTTAATGTATATCCTTCATGGTCTTTGTGTTATTAAATCATAACATTAATAAAACAAAATTACTATATATGTGTACACCATCTTTAATACCTGACAATGTCACTTTTAAATTTCAAAGCTATGATTCTCTCTAATGATATGTAAGAAAGAAAACATTTCACATTATGTGTTGGTAGGGCCGTGACGATTGTGTGAGCTCTGCTCGCTCCGATGTTCTCTTGAAAAAAACTCCGTCAAATATACTTCCCTTTCTGGTGTTATTGGCGTCTAAAACAATGTAGAGCAGAATTTGATATAAAATAATTTTGTTTATTATTACAGCTAGATATTTATCGTGTATAACTACAATAAGGTATTTCCAGTGGTGCCTCAGATATTTAGTTTATATCTAAGAATCAACAATGCCCTTTATTGCGCAAAAACACATCACTGCATATTGCAAAACAAGAGGCCCATGGGCCTTAACGGTCATCTGACAAAAAGCAAGCCAAACCTTTAGGTCAATTTGAACAAACTTGGTATCTCTCTCTTACAGGCCCATATCAGCACTCATGGACTTTTGCTTGTTGAGAAGAAGTCGTTTGTATATTTTAACATATTACCCCTGTGTTGAAAGTGGGTTGAGGTCATTCATTTGAATAAACTTGTGTAGCCTTTCCTCCCAGCATGCTACAGACCCAATATCGGCACTCATAGACTTTTGCTTATTGAGATGAAGTCCTTTGTATATTTTAACATATTTGACCCCTGTGACCTTGAAAGTGGGCCAAGGTCATTCATTTGAACAAACTTTGTAGGGCTCCATGCCAGCATTTATATAAAAGTAATTTCTAGTTTTGATTATTTAAAGATTTTGATATTTATCCTTGAAAGTTGTTCAAGGTCATTCATTTAATAAACTTGGTAGCCTTTCCTCCTAGCATGCTACAGACCCAATATTGGCACTCATAGACTTTTGCTTATTGAGATGAAGTCCTTTGTATATTTTAACATATTTGACCCCTGTGACCTTGAAAGTGGGCCAAGGTCATTCATTTGAACAAACTTTGTAGGGCTCCATGCCAGCATATATGGGCCAAGTATAGCAGGCCTTCTAGTATTTGAGAAGAAGTTATTTAAAGATTTTGACATATTTGACCTCTGTGACCTTGAAAGTTGTTCAAGGTCATTCATTTAAACAAACTTGATAGCCCTTCATCCCAGCATGCCACAGGCACAATATCAGCAATCTGAGCCTTTTGGTTATTGAGAAGAAGTTGTTTAAAGATTTTAACATATTTGACCCCTGTGACCTTTAAAGTGGGTCAAGGTCATTCATTTGAACAAACTTGGTAGTCCTTCATCCCAGCATGTCACAGGCCCAATATCTACACTCTGAGCCTTTTGGTTAATGAGAAGAAGTTGTTTAAAGATTTTAACATATTTGACCCCTGTGACCTTTAAAGTGGGTCAAGGTCATTCATTTGAACAAACTTGGTAGAACAGTATCCTCTGTGCCAAGTATTAGCCCCCTAGACCTTCTAGTATTTGAGAAGAAATCGTTTGAATGAAAAATTTACGGACAGCGCATGGCTACGCACGGCGCACGGCGGACGATATCGAAGCATGATGACTATAGGTCATTTTGGTTATTGAGAAAAATTGATAGGCACCCTTACAAATACATTTACAATATAGCAAAAAGATAATTCAAAATAAGAACAAGAGGCCCATGGGCCTTAACGGTCATCTGACAAAAAGCAAACCAAACTCTAACAACAGTGAGTCTGCCGTTAAAACAGTGGGCTTTATTCATTTGAATAAACTTGGTAGCCCTTCCTCCCAGCATCCTATATGCAAAATATCAGCACTCTGAGCCTTTTGGTTACTGAGAAGAAGTCGTTTACAGATTTTAACATATTTGAACCCTGTGATCTTGAAAGTGGGTCAAGGTCATTCACTTGAACACATTTGGTAACACTTCCTCAAAGCATCCTACAGGCCCAATATCAGCACTCTAATCATTTTGGTTATTGAGAAGTCATTTGCATATTTTAACATATTTAACCCCTGTGACCTTGAAAGTGGGTCAAGGTCATTCATTTGAACAATTTGGTAGCATGTCATTCATGCATCCTATAGGTCCATTATCAGCACTCTTGGACTTTTGCTTATTGAGAAGTCGTTTGTATATTTTAACATATTTGACCCCTGTGACCTTGAAAATGGGTCAAGGTCATTCATTTGAACAAACTTTGTAGGGCTCCATGCCAGCATGCTATGGGCCAAGTATTAGCCCCCTAGGCCTTCTAGTATTTGATAAGTTTTTTTAATGAAAAGTTTACGGACGACGCACGGCGGACGGTGCACGGCGGACGGTGCACGGCGGACAACGACGGACGAAGCACGATGGCTATAGGTCATCTCGACCCTTCGGGTCAGATGACCTAACAAGCTAATATGACCTGCCACAATTAACGTTACATGGTACATTCAAGTTGGGCTATTTCCATTATATATTCATTTTCCAGTATGTTCATCGGTTGATGAGAATTATGGCTCACATCCATGTTCGTTTACCTGACAAATTAAGTTCCTCATATCACAGTCAAGCGAGGATGAGCTATTCAAGTGGGGATGTGACATTACTTTATATTCATTCTCTGGTACGCTCATCCGCTAATGATAAGTGGAATACAATTTAATATCGATCCTCCTGTGTTCCCTGTTATAGGGGAACATACACACATGTGGTTCCCTGGGATTGAAAAGGATTGTCGGTATATCGTGTCATTTGTCATATACTCATGCTAATTTCAGTTGGCATCGGACTTCAATTAAAGTCATATAACTTACCCGATTGATATTTAAATCTCTTTCTTATTTTGTAAATGACAAGTCCAGCTATCAATATCACCACGATAGCGGTTATGATAAGTCCAATAACTAGTCCAGTTCTGTCATCAGTGCTCTCCCTTTGTTAAAAACAAAAGTCACAATTATTCACCAAGTATTGACAATTGTATTTATCAAACATGGAACGGTCTTAAAATTTTTCGAAACTCATTCGTGCAAAGTATATCATCACTGAAATATCAAGATAAAACGATGAATAAAGACACTTCACGTGTATGGTTGTCATGATGATATACCTCCCTTGACATTCGTTATATATTACTACTTGTCAATGACAACTGAATTAGAGTACATTGAAAATGACCACTGGAGTAACCTTTTGTCAACTTTAATGATATACTCACTCCAATGATATATTTAAGCATCACTGATGAGTCTTAAAAGGACGAAACTGCTACATCATGCATATTGGCTCTATGTAAATTACTCTAAATTATCTGAAAACGTGTCTTTTCTTGGTCAAAGCCCGCCAAATTTTGAGGAAAAAAAGAAATGACTTTTACCTATAATCCAGGTAATTACTGTCCCTATTCAGATGCTACGTGTTGTGGAAATTGGTTAAAACTGATTAGATGTACCCACTTTGAATGCCAATGATGTACGTGATAATGTATTTGTGATAAACAGGGATTTTAACTTTGCTTAACAATTTTGCTGGTGAGTGAAGCAGGCTCTTTTGGCCTCTTGTTTTAAATGATGTATTTAATGTTAATGGCATACTCATATTAACAATACATCCATTAATGAAAAACGTACGTCTTGCGATTCCTTTCAGGCATGTTTCCTCTGGACGGTGTGGCTTGGTGTGCTGGATCAATCGTTGATGTGGCTGGAAGTGGTTCGCTGGTGACGATTTCGGAGAGTGTGGAGCTGTGAGAAACAGCGGGGCGTTTGGTTGTTACTGAACCACTGCTTAAAGGATTATATGTTGTTTTCTTCGGCGGAGGAGAATTAACAGGCACAGTTTGTGGACTATTAGGACCTGAAAGAGACGCGGTAGTCTGCTTTGTACCGGGTTTCCGTGGCGGTTCTGGCACTCCTGTCGTAGTCGATGCGGGGAGGACAATGTCGGAATTGTTTTTCCAGATGCAAGTTGGATAGTCTCCTTGCCACTGACAGTGTGGAAATCTTAGGCATTCGTCTTTATCCTCTCTAATACATAAAACAGTGAAATTAACCTTAATGGCTGTTTTTACTAATATAGTTTACACGTTAAATAAATATGATTGGCTGAACAAATTAAAGATGTGAGTGTAAGATTTACACTGTGTTTGCAAGTTTACACTCAGCTGGTTGCATATTGACCGAACAACTTTGTAACTTCTATTTTCGTTGGTTTGACTTGGTAAGTGATATGATTATTATGTTACAGTGTTTAAAACTCATGTGCATGTGCACTGTTTAGTGAACTGAGCAGTGCACTTGACTTAAAAGTTGGCCTTTTACAATCTAAGATTTTACTGAATGTAAGTGATGACAATTCATCAGCAACATATTTTGAATTATTTATACCAGATTTCAGAAAACAAAAAGATTTTAATATCTCTTTCCAAGAAAATACCGCCATGATGCCTACAGAGAAACACAAGGCACTGAACAGTTTTTAACATTATTCCCAGGTGGCGTTGGTAGAAACGATGGTGGCAAATGATCGTCTATAAGGGGGTCATCTGTAAATCAAATCAGTGTCTCCGGTCATTAACATCTCATAAAAAGCATAGCTTTCAACACAACATATATCGAATCAGAAATTAGGAACAAATATACCAGAATCTCAATGTTATCCATAGATACATTGTTAAGTGATCTACAGGACAACTTTAATGAGATAGAGTAATGTAAGAAGAGTCACATGCCTTAACGATAATCTATGACCCAACATTTTTGGAACAGCAACAATACAAAAGGAAAATGCCGACATGTCATCAAACTCTTAATTAAACTGCAGTTCGATACCACAAGAGTAAAATATGAACATCATAAGTATTTACACGTAAACACATGAAAACATATAATGAGACCAAAACCTGGTGTTCAGGAAGGGTAAGCGTCTTCTATTTCTTCGACACCTGCCATGTAAATCTTCTTCAATTCAAGCAATTGATGCCTACTCGAATAAAAAAATATAGGTAACAAACGTAAGAAAATATAGGGTACATACTATAACAGGCTGTGGTATGTAGACCGTGGAGGCTGTAATGATTGGAACATTGGTCAAAGTCCGCCAAACACTGACATGGGCTCTCACAGGCCAGGTCGCTGTTCAAACACTTATTACACAGGATATTTCCTCTTACAACACATGTCTACAAAAGAGAATGTCAAATGGTAGAGTAAAGGCAAAGATATGGACAATGTAAACCTTTAATACTTCCAAACTTCAAAAATAATGAAATTTCCACGATTAAAAGATACCACTCTATTGATCAACATAGCATAAGAAAAATGTCATGTAAAAGGTACTACAAATTACCATATCTTAACATAGTATGACATTCTCCAACGCCTTGCTTTGAATTCCAATCCGACAGTACACCAAGTATAAATACTTATTATCTGTGTTATCTAGAAACATATCGCATTGACGGCTATGCTAGCATAGGTGTGCAATAAAATATTTTATACAAATCTTGTCTAGTATACCAAACACAGGTCAGAACTTACATTTGTATCATTAAAATTTCCCTCACACACAAACTTGGTCCTGTTATAAAGGACTAACAAAAATAAGTTAGTTCCTGTGATCGAGCCAATAACATAACTCTCGCACTTGTTCGGATGTGTCCTCTGGTCAAACGTCAGGGTCACCGAGTATGAGAGCCTGTGCTGGCCCTCCGACAGACTAGTACACCAAAATGGCTAGAAAATCAAAGAATTTAGTGGAATAATCTGATGAACGACGGTTATGTATAGTGTTTGTTTGATTTGTTTTCGATATTACAATGAAGAGAAAAAACATACATGACAGGAAATAATGAAAATAACACCAGTCTTACTTATTTCACTTTCTGAAGGCTAGATCACAACTAATATGAAATCCGAAAAACGATAGATCCCTTAGGTTTATACTGTTATACTTATATTTCCCATAATAATAAAAACAAACATTGTATCTAATTACACTGTTTATGTTCCTTTTCAATGAGCTTATTACCTGCATTTTCCCTGTGTGTATGAGGTGATCGGCAAGCCATGGAAACTGTTGTATTATGTGACGAGATGTCCTGACGCTTCCAGCAGAGGTCATCAAAAACCTGCCGGTAGGTAATTTATTTCAAAATGCCATTTTTTTCAATAAAACAAATGATTCCAAGAATAAACCACCAATGTGTACAGAGAGGATAAATACTCTTTTTCATCATATCATACGTGTAATTGAAGATTAAGTTCAATGGCAAATTATCATTAAAAATATAAAAACACAATTCCATGATATCCCTTATATTTACCCATTATTGTCCAGCAGGTGACATTCCACGTCAGGTCCACCACAGCCTGATGTCTGTCAATCAAAAACCCGCTGAGGCATGAAAATTTTCATACATGATGATGCTAGGAATTGTAATAATACGTGATTACTTGAAATTGACAACATCGAATCACCAGTTCAAAAATTCAATTTCTTGATATCTTGTCAAATTGCAAAATTGATCACGGAGAGTTACTTACATCAGCATTAATTAACCAATTGGACAATTTAACCTGGACACCAAGATGATCATCACAGATTAATATGCTTAAAGTAGTATGATCAAGAACTGTACGAAAATAGCAATAGCAGCCCTGTTTGTTTCTGTACCAACCACAGCCCTGTTTGTTTCTATGCCAGCCACAGCCCTGTTTGGTTCTGTACCAACCACAGCCCTGTTTGTTTCTGTACCAACCACAGCCCTGTTTGGTTCTGTACCAACCACAGCCCTGTTTGTTTCTGTACCAGCCACAGCCCTGTTTGTTTCTATACCAGCCACAGCCCGCCCTATTTGGTTCTGTACCAACCACAACCCTGTTTGTTTCTGTACCAACCACAGTCCTGTTTGTTTCTATACCAGCCACAGCCCGCCCTGTTTGGTTCTGTACCATCCACAACCCTGTTTGTTTCTATACCAGCCACAGCCCGCCCTGTTTGGTTCTGTACCAACCACAACCCTGTTTGTTTCTATACCAGCCACAGCCCGCCCTGTTTGGTTCTGTACCAACCACAGACCTGTTTGGTTCTGTACCAACCACAACCCTGTTTGTTTCTGTACCAACCAGAACCCTGTTTGGTTCTGTACCAACCACAGCCCTGTTTGTTTCTGTACCAACCACAACCCTGTTTGTTTCTGTACCAACCACAACCCTGTTTGTTTCTGTACCAACCACAGCCCTGTTTGTTTCTGTACCAACCACAACCCTGTTTGGTTCTGTACCAACCACAACCCTGTTTGTTTCTGTACCAACCACAGCCCTGTTCTGTTCTGTACCAGCCACAACCCTGTTTGTTTCTGTACCAACCACAGCCCTGTTTGGTTCTGTACCAAACCCACAGCCCTGTTTGGTTCTGTACCAACCACAGCCCTGTTTGTTTTTCAAGACGTACCTGGTATAGCATGGCAGTAAGTTGTCTGTGTGAAATTACCACTCCTGCCACGCCCTGTAACTGCTTGACCAACGGTGACCTCTTGCCATCAGATTCTCTGTGAAGGTAACAGCAAGAATTAGTAAAGTATAAATTTCTCCAAACATGGCGCTTCACTTTTGTATACAAATACAACTATTATATCTTTTATGTTTTTACTCACATATTTTCAGATACCGCCTTAGTAATAAGTACCATCTTGTTTTTACTGAAGTGACTGAACAATCCTGATGTAAACACAAACTGGTGTGAGAGGGCAACACTTCTTCTGAACCTGGGAAACGGATTCAGAACATTGATTACAAATACGTTTGCTATTTCTAAAGCAATGATTAGTTACTAAGAAAACAAATAAACCTGAAAACTATATGTTTTACACGCGAAAAAACCGGATGTCCACAATTTTGTATCATATGTCTATAATAATTTGTTTTATCTTGTATTCGGTGCATGTCTATCATTATGATATTTAAAATACATTTGTGTTACATGTGAAGAACTTAAGAGCATATCTTAAAACCTACCAGAATTGCCGGAGGTGGTCGTATGTATTCGGAAAGGGCATCCCTGGAAATATTCTCAGAACTCCAGTGGGTGTTCCGAAAAATCTTTAGTAGAAACAGGAAAAATATATACCATTGACAGACAATACTGTACCTAGTCTATATATATATATATATATATATATATATATATATATATATATTATAATATATATTATATATTATATATTACAGCCACAGAAAACAATTGAAAGAATTGAGTCAAATTGAAATAAATCCTGACTAAAGATTAAAAGTCCAGTTGTATATACTCAAAAGATGTATTATACATGTAAAACACAATGTATTTTACAACATAATTCTATTTTGGAATGTTAGACATGTATTCACCTAAACATGTCAACACTTTCCTTCCAACACCACTTTAATTGAATATGTAAACACTTATTCATACTAATAATCACCATATATCAGAATATACACATATGTATATAAATAATTATCTTATTTTTATCTTTGGACGAGTCCTTGAAGGACGAATCAATTGTATGATGCAAGTTAATTCATTGTTTGTCTCTATGGATTGATCACAGTTTGATTTATCGCCTTATTGTAGTGTTAGCAGATCTTCACTGTAAATAGGTGCAATATTAATATTCTTCTGTTCCTCGCATCTTAATTAGCAGTAAATGTTTTGATTCTAAATATCTCAATAAAATCACCTTTCTAAGACTTGTTTGGCCGTGGGCCTCCATAAATTGTCTATTTCGTTGGTAGATTTCAAAATGTGCTCAATCTCTTCTTTTATCTCTGAAAGGTGAAGGAGACAAACTATTTATTAGTTTTCGTATATTTTTTTTTTAGTTATGTGTTAAAAGTAAAATTTTGGAGCAATTTGAAATTTGTTCAGATCCGATTTTCAATTAAGACCTATACTGATATAAAAAGTAGTTGTAGTTACTCACAATACCGTCTTTGAAGTTCAATAAACAGTTGAGTGATACAGTTTAATCCATTAATATATATACAATGCTAGATTTGTATTATGTTTCTTGCACTCTCCTTTCAGTCCCAAAACACTGTCTTTGAATGTTTGTATTTCCGAGTAGGAAGTATTTTGTCAAATATCCTTGAAATATCAATCACTATTGGTACTTTCATCCCATTTGAGGACATTAACAATAACTTAATGGATTAACCATGTTATCTGTCTCAGACATGTAAAGAAAATTTGCTGATCAGCAGAATTTGTCAATAATTAAACTTGCATCAGAGATATCCCAATATGCTTCCTTTTTGGCATTCTCATGTTTCCTCATATGTGAAACACGTTGCATAGGATACAAAAATTTAAAAGATCAAGAAAATATAGTAACTTCACGATTTGTTTAAAACAGAAAGCCAAACGTTGTTTTGTATCTTGTGATACCCATAACATATTGATAAGATTTCTATCCATTCGATTTGCATTGTTCCAATAATATTTTAAAATATATAGCTTTTGGTAAACCACAAAGAATTTTGTAGAAAATTATTTCACAATCTTGAAAACTAAACTTTTAGATCAGTTGAATGGGACTCTCACTATCCCTAGATATAACCCATTCCTAGCTGTTACATAGAGACTCTCACTATTCCTAGATATAAGCCATTCCTAGCTGTTACATAGAGACTCTCACTATCCCTAGATATAACCCATTCCTAGCTGTTACATAGAGACTCTCACTATCCCTAGATATAACCACTATCCCTAGATATAACCAATTCCTAGCTGTTACATAGAGACTCTCACTATCCCTAGATATAACCCATTCCTAGCTGTTACATAGAGACTCTCACTATCCCTAGATATAACCCATTCCTAGCTGTTACATAGAAACTCTCAATATCCCTAGATATAACCCATTCCTTAGCTGTTACATAGAGACTCTCACTATCCCTAGATATAAGCCATCCTTAGCTGTTACATAGAGATTCTCACCATCCCTAGATATAACCCATCCTTAGCTGTGACATAGAGACTCTCACTATCCCTAGATATAACCCATTCTTAGCTGTTACATAGAAACTCTCACTATCCCTAGATATAACCCATTCTTAGCTGTTACATAGAGACTCTCAATATCCCTAGATATAACCCATTCCTAGCTGTTACATAGAGACTCTCACTATCCCTAGATATAACCCATTCCTAGCTGTTACATAGAGACTCTCACTATCCCTAGATATAAGCCATTCCTAGCTGTTACATAGAGACTCACTATTCCTAGATATAACCCATTCCTAGCTGTTACATAGAGACTCTCACTATCCCTAGATATAAGCCATCCTTAGCTGTTACATAGAGATTCTCACTATCCCTAGATATAACCCATCTTTAGCTGTTACATAGAGACTCTCAGTATCCCTAGATATAACCCATTCCTAGCTGTTACATAGAGACTCTCACTATCCCTAGATATAACCCATCCTTAGCTGTTACATAGAGACTCTCACTATCCCTAGATATAACCCATTCCTAGCTGTTACATAGAGACTCTCACTATCCCTAGATATAACCCATTCCTAGCTGTTACATAGAGACTCTCACTATCCCTAGATATAACCCATTCCTAGCTCTCACTATTCCTAGATATAACCCATTCCTAGCTGTTACATAGAGACTCTCACTATCCCTAGATATAACCCATCCTTAGCTGTTACATAGAGACTCTCACCATCCCTAGATATATCCCATTCCTAGCTGTTACATAGAGACTCTCAGTATCCCTAGATATAAGCCATTCCTAGCTGTTACAAAGAGACAATCACTAGTTAGACCATATACCTGAACAAGAAAATATATTTTGTATATCAAAATAATCAAAATCAAACTCAATAAAACTATGGACAAAGAAAGATTGACATGGACACTTAAGAAAAAGCAAAAGAAAATAAGATTTAGGAAGAGTGAGTATCTTTGTCTTCTTTGATGTCACCGGTCACGTGGCCAATTGTAAGATGGTCAATCCATGTAAAAATGGTCATGGTTTCAGATAAGAACTAGGTATACAAAAACGGAACAAACAGGCAAACTAATGAGCATTAAATGCATCCAACTTCATATCGCACAAAGAATAAAAAAAATCTCCATGAGATCACAATGAATATGCTACTAAAATCAAAACTTTCATAGACTAGCAAAAGGTATAGCATACCGAGTCTTATCTTTGAAGTATCTTTAGAATGTTCCAAGAAACTGTTCACTTCCAGTATCTGCATCACGTTTTCTTTAGAGTACTTATATTGCTCGGGATTCACAAACACGGCTGGTGATAGCTATATTTTAAAAACAAAAAGACCAGTATTGAATAAATCTAAGGTTTTATACGTAACAAATGCTTTCTACTTTTCAAATATTTTGAATACTTTTGGCAACATAATAATACCAATCAATAATGTAAAACCCTGTGCTCTTCAAATAATGACGAAGAAATGCTTTGCTGACATTTATATGTAAAGTATATTCCTGAAAAGTGATATCATTGGATGATAAAGTGATGCTCTTTTCCTTTCCGTGTTTTCCTGCTCATTGAATAACACATCAGTTCTTACCTTAATGACAGATTCTTGAGTGGCAATGAAACTATCTTCATAAGAACACACATAATCGTCTTGGGGCTTGTTATGAACCGGTGATTGAGCTATCATATCGAGACGATGGTAAGGCGCGTGCAGCTTTAAATCCTTATTAAAGAAATACAATGTAAACCACTAAAACACGGTGTTTGCTTCCAATATGTGATTTTTGTCTGCTAATTTCTTGTTTAGAATACGAGAGAAATTATATAAACACATAATTAGATAATGTGTAAACGTACTTAGTTTGATAATGTTAAATTTTAACCCTTCATATCTTTTTGATAAATCAAAGCATTAATGAATGAGCATATTCATGATAATATACTATGTATTTAACATAAAGAAATACTATGAGCGCAATTAGGTTTTAGCGTAGCAGCTTCAGAATGAAAGGCACCAAGATAAGATTTCCGCTAAAATATGAACATTTACAGTAAGTAGTGTAAGGAGATGAAAACAATGGTACCATATTTGTAATAAAGATGAAATTCAAATTCTATAATGCATCAACTCAAAGACAAGGTGTATTTCATATTAAAAAAAAAAAATACGAACCTGAGCTAGGTGTTGAGGAACAAGGATGTCGCTGTCCAAGTCAAACTTAACAAGGACCAGAACGAACCGTGTTCCATGTATCTTTGAGTATACCAGCGTGACATTCTGTGGTGTTGAATTGTCTTGTAATATCCCAGATTTATACGAGCTTCTTCCCATTGTCACCTGCTCTCAAACACACACACGAACGAGTTTATCTACATGACGGTATTTTACTCCAAAAGATTTACTCAATTTCAAAACAGAAAGGTAAACTGAACTAAAGCTACGACCCCGGTTGCAACAAAACTCTGAAGTAGGACATTAAAAGTGTACTGTGTAAGGCATGTGCTGATTGCATGCACAATTTTTCAAACATAGGTCAAAGGTCTCAGTCAAGGTCTTATATCACCTGAAAGGTATTCTCACAAGGAGAATATAAACGTCCTACCTCTTACGGTGCAATAGTTTTGGACAAAGTTAAAGTTGACAACAGACAGCATGAAACTTCATCAATTAGGGATGGGCAAATACATTAACAATTGACATTGTCTTGAAGATTTTTTCATAAATTGTTTTACAGTAATAAAATAACTATGATTAATATAGTAAGTAATACTGTTAGAAATGCAGATATATGATATAGTGATAGACAAGGAAGGCGACACCTGGCGGTTTATATATCACTATCAAAACTTAATTCTCAACAGATACCTGAGCTCTAAGCTGTCGTTTCTCTTGGGCTGCGTGTGTAAGATTAAATATTTGAACATTATTTAATGTCGGCTCCACCACGGAAAGGTGTGGAAACACTGGGCTTTCCTGCTGTACTTCATCTGGAGGACGGAGTTTTGGATGCAGTAGGACTTGACCTTAATTACAGAACAAAAGCCGATTTTACCTTACTTGACTTATTAGATATCGGAAAGAAAAACATTTTAAATAAGATTTTTATCTCCAATGTTTATTGTTTCCTAACTACATTTTATCATTTATTTTATAATTCAAAACACCCCCTTCATAATTATTTTGATCATAAATTATAACTGATGTATTTTGTCAGGCATTTTTCTGCCTCTAAATTAGAATGATAATAATTATTTGCATGTCCAACTTTTGTGAGCATTAGGTCATTGTAACCTTAATACACGACCTTCCTAATTCAATACGTCTTAAATTGGCATACTTACCATGCTGCTTTTCCATAAGAAATGCATAACTGTGAACGCCAATATCGAAATTAAGAATTTCAGCAAAAATGGTTGATAGGGAAGTATCAACAGCTGCCACACCATAAACTGTGTTATTGTGGAAGACTGGAATTGTTGACGTCATTATCAGACCTACCAATCAAGTGACAAGTCTTACTTAAGTGTGAAAACTACAGAGTTAATGACACGAGACAGTTTAGACAAAGAACTCTATAGAAAAGCTTGATTGTAAAATCAGAAAGTAGATAACGCCAGAAGACTTAAAACTAAAAACGAAAAATAAGTAAACCAATTAAATAACCAGTAACAAATATATTAACGTAACAATGTTTTCAATATTTCGTTTACCAGAATGAGGATCGGGTTTTGGTCCTAATACGGTCACGCTGGATACTGGTTTGGTGACGGGCCGTGACCCTATCTGTCGATAAAAGGTGGCGGCGCCTTGGACAAAACTGGTCGCGTTATACTTATGGTAATCCCCACGTGGGCCAACAGGAGGCATAAAGGTGAGATTATTGATCTGAAAAAAAAGACAATGATGAGATACAACTGGGACATCGTAACAAGGACGACATGGTGAAAAGCCGATTATATTTAATGTAGAAAAATGAACTTGTAATATGAAATGAAAATTGAAAAGTCTAACCATAAACATTTGTTAGTGCAACTTCTCTGATGTAGTTTCACATCAAATCATATTTGTAGCATCTATCGTGCTTTACATATGTGGATGACAGGCTCATCCACGGATTGAACCTGATTTAGTCTTGTTGTAAAATCACCAGTTAACACATGTGTTCCATTACACTCAACAACTTCATTGACTTCCAAATACTGAAGAGTTCAACAATTCATATAGAGAGTTATGTCCCTTTACCAAACTGGTATTCTCAATGACAGATACCACAATATTCTTCAAACTTTCTATCAGAATATGTTCATTGCAGCATCTCAACATGACTTACGATTCAGAACTAGATAGTGAAGTGAAAATAAATAGGTTTTCACATATGTTTAAGAACGATCGGACAATGTTTGGTGTGGAGTATTGCTGACAATTGAAATCATTGTTAAACGAAGATCTGATATTGGATCAAACAAAGATGAAGTTATTCGGGCTGAGAATAGCTGGGAAAACCAGTTATCTAAATAGACATACTTATTATTAACACTTTATTTATTAATAAATGATAAGATATTCTATTAACATAGCATAAAATCTCAAAACAATACCTATTTCAGACATACATAGTAGGACATCAGCGGTTTCTATGATGACTATACAAACCCCTGGCCAGCCTGGTACATCCTGATGTGCTATACTGGACAGGATTTTATTGGCACTATCGTCCAGACTGTCATCAAATGTGTAGACGAAATGAAAAACCTTCCTGTCCTATTAAAGGTATGATGAATTGTACGTGTTGTTAAGTATAAATTTTTATATATTCTGATCGATTGCATTGATCTTTAATTGGCGATTCACAAATGTTTCATACAATATCGGAAGACACTGTACACTTTATTTTTTCTGAGAGGGGTGAGGGAGAGCAATTTTCTATATATTATGCCCTTTTAATATAGATGTTCTCTTCAATTCGGTATACATTAGTTTCAAATTTGGATCTATATAAGTTCTGAATAATCCAGGATTTGTTATGCGTAATTTGGAGGAAGCTTGTCATAGAACTTTGGGAAATGAGAAAACTAACAGACTTACTAGTTCCTTTTGTTTATTAGATATGGTGGTGAACAGCTTCTCAGTGCCGCTGTTGGTCGGTTTTCCTGGAGTAAGTAATATTAGTTGACTCGATCGCTCCTCAAATTTTTCCTACGTTAAACAAACCAATATTTAAGGATGTTCATAAAGACAAATCACGAAATTTTCAGGAGGGTTTACTTGTAATTGATATGGAAATTACAAAAATTGTGAAGCAACTGAGATAAATGATCAAAATTGTAAAGTCAACATTCACATGTAGCTAATACAGATAGTAATCTTCGAAATCAGAAACATTTTTTTTCGGAGATTCCCGCACACCCGTACTAACAGGAGAATAGCGTTTCTCGTACTACCGCACACTTACATGAGAATTCTGTTTCTCGTACTACCGCACACTTACAGGAGAATAGTGTTTCTCGTACTACCACACACTTACAGGAGAATAGTGTTTCTCGTACTACCGCACACTTACAGGAGAATAGTGTTTCTCGTACTACCGCACACTTACAGGAGAATAGTGTTTCTCGTACTACCGCACACTTACAGGAGAATAGTGTTTCTCGTGCTACCACACACTTACAGGAGAATAGTGTTTCTCGTGCTACCACACACTTACAGAAGAATTCTGTTCCTCGTACTACCGCACACTTACAGGAGAATTCTGTTTCTCGTGCTACCACACACTTACAGGAGAATAGTGTTTCTCGTACTACCACACACTTACAGGAGAATAGTGTTTCTCGTACTACCACACACTTACAGGAGAATAGTGTTTCTCGTACTACCACACACTTATAGGAGAATTCTGTTTCTCGTACTACCGCACACTTACAGAAGAATTCTGTTCCTCGTACTTCCACACACTTACAGGAGAACAGTGTTTCTCGTACTACCGCACACTTACAGGAGAACTGTGTTTCTCGTACTACCGCACACTTACAGGAGAATTCTGTTTCTCGCACTACCGCACACTTACAGGAGAATTCTGTTCTTCGTACTACCACACACTTACAGGAGAATTCCGTTTCTCGTACTACCGCACACTTACAGAAGAATTCTGTTCTTCGTACTACCACACACTTACAGGAGAATTCCGTTTCTCGTACTACCACACACTTACAGCACACTTACAGGAGAATTCTGTTCCTCGAGAATTCTGTTCCTCGTACTACCGCACACTTACAGGAGAACTGTGTTACTTGTACTACCACACACTTACAGGAGAATTCTGTTTCTCGTACTACCGCACACTTACAGGAGAATTCTGTTCCTCGTACTACCACATACAGGAGAATTCCGTTTCTCGTACTACCGCACACATACAGGAGAATTCCGTATCTCGTACTACCGCACACTTACAGGAGAATTCTGTTTCTCGTACTACCACACACTTACAGGAGAATTCTGTTTCTCGTACTACCGCACACTTACAGGAGAATTCTGTTCTTCGTACTACCACACACTTACAGGAGAATTCCGTTTCTCGTACTACCACACACTTACAGGAGAATTCTGTTTCTCGTACTACCGCACACTTACAGGAGAATTCTGTTTCTCGTACTACCGCACACTTACAGGAGAATTCCGTTTCTCGTACTACCGCACACTTACAGGAGAATTCCGTTTCTCGTACTACCGCACACTTACAGGAGAACAGTGTTTCTCGTACTACCGCACACTTACAGGAGAATTCTGTTTCTCGTACTACCGCACACTTACAGGAGAATTCTGTTCCTCGTTACAGGAGAATTCTGTTTCTCGTACTACCGCACACTTACAGGAGAATTCTGTTTCTCGTACTACCGCACACTTACAGGGGAATTCCGTTTCTCGTACTACCGCACACTTACAGGAGAATTCTGTTTCTCGTACTACCGCACACTTACAGGAGAAGTCTGTTCCTCGTACTACCGTACACTTACAGGAGAATTCTGTTTCTCGTACTACCGCACACTTACAGGAGAACAGTGTTTCTCGTACTACCGCATACTTACAGGAGAACAGTGTTTCTCGTACTACCACACACTTAAAGGGGAATTCTGTTTCTCGTACTACCGCACACTTACAGGAGAATTCTGTTTCTCGTACTACCGCACACTTACAGGAGAATTCTGTTTCTCGTACTACCGCACACTTACAGGAGAATTCTGTTTCTCGGTTATCAATAATTCGTAAGCCTTTAGAAGTCCACTGGTATAATCGGAACCTCCTGTAACATACAAATTTTAAATCAATTTCATAGTGATTTCTATGTGATTTTTTTTTCGGATTCTGCCTTTTTAGAACATACAAAGAATCATTTTATGTTTTAAGAACACACACACACACACACATATAGATATATTAAGTTTTCCTATGAAGAGCAAATGTGTCATGGTTAATTGTGTGTGTAGATTGTTATTGGGTTATGTGTAATTTAAATATCACAGTAAATCTATTCTACATATTTCATCTAATCAAAACATAAAAAAACAATAGAATATCAAAACTTTCGACAATTACAGTGAAAAGAGGCAATCGTACAACAAAGATCAATCGTTTACACAGATAACATTTCTTCTTTATCTTTTGGGGAAAGGAGGAGTGAAATCGCAAAAGTAAAAATATAATACATTTGCATTGAAAAAGGAAATCACATTTAAAGACAGATTCTTGCCAAAAAGGCACTTTTGTTATTTCAAAGAGAAATATTTGATGGAATGTCGTTTTAAACACAAATACAAAAATGTAGATAGCATTCCGGGTTTCTTTCACATATTGTGAAAACAAGGAAGCTATATTTGCCTGGTAAATATTTCGCATGCCGACATTTAAATAAATATAATCCTGGTAACTTCCCCTTGTTGATAAACAATATCTATTCATTAACACAATTACCTGCGGGAACTTTTGTGGTGCTGAGGAACCGACGTATCTTGTCACAATTGACCTGATTGGCTACGAATAACCTAACGTCACACTGTGCAGGTACGTAAGCTGTGCTATTGAAGGCCACCACATTCACCTTTTTATGGGGATGAAGACATAAAATTAACAGGCGGAATTAAAACATGTACGTTAGTTTCCACCACCGATCAACAGTACTGTAGTTCAATCGATATAGTTCTGTAGTTCGAATCCAAAGGCGGGTAACATTTGCATTGTAATATTGCCGTTGGTTACGTATGAGAAAACTGACCAATCGCCAGGCTCATAGAACGATGCTAGCGAAAGCATGCATATAAGGCACTTACTTTTGATAACTTTTTTAAAATGTACATACATGATCATCCGGTGACAATGTGTCCAGGATACGCAGTACGGCTTCTTGGATATACATATTCAAGGTCATGTTCCCAGGACCAACGATTACGTCAGCACTAGCCCCAACATCATACACAATCACAAGGTTCTTCATTTCCATGAACAGTTTATCCACAAACCATTCCCTTTAAATCAAATATAGATAGATCAGCAATAACGAAATCGTTAGAATTAACAACATATTTACTTCAAATGTTTCTAAAACAGCTAATTTACAAAACAGCAAAGTGTTTCTCAAAATCCAAAAAATATTTTCAACAAAAACACAACATTTACCGAATAATTTTATCCAGAATATTTGCCTCCATAAATAAACTTTTTGAAGGCAATGGATTAGTCATATCGATTGCCTTTAGTGGAAAATAAACATTATGTCATACTTTGGTGTGCTTTCTATGTAAGAGATCAATGAAGTTTGTCTAGACATCACAAGGACAGTCACTGAAGGAAACGTTATGTCATACTTTGATGTGCTTTCTATGTAAGAGATCAATGAATTTTGTCTAGACATCACAGTGACTGTCACTGGAGGAAATTGTGTGTCATACTTTGGTGTACTTACTGTGTGAGAGGGCTGATGAGGTTTGTCTGGACGTCACTGAAGGAAATTGTGTGTCATACTTTGGTGTACTTACTGTGTAAGAGGACTGATCAGGCGTCCCTGATCGTCACAGTGACGATTGCTTGTTGGATACTGTATAAAATTGCCGTTCACGGTAGAGAAATATTGCCAAAGAACTGTAGGCGTGTCCACATAATTGTGCTATAAATTAAAGCAGAATAAATGTTATTTCATTAAATTTATCATCGTGAAAAATTGGTATATGTTGACACCAATATCAACCCGCCGCCACACCCTCCTTCAATTACTGGAGCCAGTCTGTGGTTACGTAATAAACACTAAAATCTTGAATGGAGACGTACATAAGTAAAGATCAGAACAGCATAAACTAAAATGATTTGAATAATACAAAGTATATAAACGGCTGGTCATTGTTTTAAAAGAAACTACAGTGGTAACAGGGAAATGTAGAAAAAAAAAGAGCCAAGGAAATTTTTATCAAAGCAATGAAAACACACATTCACCCATAGTCTACTGTTGCGTAGCATGCAGTTTTCACGTCTGTTGAATCACATTCGATATTTTGCTTTATTCACATCCATGGTCAATCTCGCATTTAGATCAATTGTCACATTCTAACTGACGTTAGGTCAATGACATTTGATGGGTAAAGCAAGACATCTACTTTAAAGTCAGAGTTTAGTCGAGTAGTTACAGAGTTGCCTCCCCTTTATTCTTACTATCATGAAGCGGTGTTATCAATAACAGAAAACATGGAGTGTGTCGCGAATGATTGTACTTCTTTTCAAGTTTTTCCGAGTTTAAGGTTATTTTCTTTTTCATAGGTCAAATTGTCTGTTTCAGGTTGAAAGTCTGTGCTGCCAAGTGTATGGAAAAATCGTTGGTGTGGTGACTTCTTAATCCATCTGCGATGACTTTTTTGTTCAAACTATTTTGAAAAGGTTTTATATCTTTCTGTTCCCATAACGATATTGAATTCAGGTTGTGTCACTCTTTTTTTTTTAATTCTTTTATTTTTTGACAAGTTTTTACACATTGCACAATACACAATATACAAGAGAATTCACACAAAAAAACATACACCCACACTCTCACACTTGTGTGCTCTTACTTGAATATGTCTTACACATATACATGCATTATCATCATCATCAGCAGCATCTTTATCATCATGCACATGTATCTACTACTTACTGCACACAAACTCACTCATCAACATTCACACCCACTTATACTCACATAGTAAAGTTACATGAACTTAACAAAATACTCACACACACACACACACACACACACACACACACACACACACACACACACACACACACACACACAATATCATATCACTTACACTTATCAAAGATATTTTCTCAAAAACACTTACTCACTCATGAATACATTTATATATATATATATATAAAATATCCTAAACAAAAAGAGAGAGAGAGAGAGAGAGAGAGAGAGAGAGAGAGAGAGAGAGAGAGAGAGAGAGAGAGAGAGAGAGAGAGGGGGGGGGAAGAGATAGAGAATTGGGAGGGTTATACTCATTATTAAATAAGAAGTAGCACTAATTTTGTGGAAATTCAATAAATTTAAAGTCAGTTTGGTAAAGTCAAGGCCATGGCCATTGGGAACCGACTTGTTAGCATACATATTGTAGTTCCAAAATAGACATCCATTTTTTCAAAAATTTGTTTTCATAATAGTGTTTTTGCTGGAAATGTTGTACTTTTGAACATGGAAATGATCCTTGATATTATTTATAAGAGCATTTAAATTAAGAGATTTTTGTAGACATCTTGACATATAAACATAGTGTTTAATGAGAATTAAAATTTCGTTATCTACAGTGTTAGCATTAGGATGGATAATTCCAAATAAATATGTTTCTTTGTTTATCCAAAAAGGAACCAGAAGAATATCAAGAAGAGATTCAAATCCCTCCAATAGAGTCTGTACCTCTATACACTCCCATAGACAGTGAACGATTGTTTCTCTTTCCATATTACATAGTGTACTTAAAGGGCTAGGTATTAAATTAATATTGAAAAGAAAGGAGTTCGTAACCAGAAATTGATGTATAATCCTTACTTGATCTGTAGCTTAGAACTTTCTGTAATTGTAAACGCAATTATTAATATGTTTTTCCACTTCTGATCATCAAAGTCAAACTCATCACTCCATTTTCGAATACCAGTAGGGGTTGGTGCTGGTTTAATAATAGCATTGTAGAAGTCTTTGGCACCTTTTTGACTTTTATAAAAAAAATCCCATGGAAGTGGTATAAAGGCTGAAATAGTCCTAATAGATGGAAGTCATGTTTTCTCAAGAAACACTTGACGGCTGTAATCAAGCCATAATACTGTAAATAGTTGGTTTTGATTAAAAATTTATGACGAAACTCATCAAAGGAGAAAAATGTCGAATGATCAGAATTTTTAATTAGGTCATTGATGGTATATATACCAGCATTAAACCATACTGGATAGAAGACATATCTATTGCCCACTTGAATGTCATTATTGTACCATAAAGGGGTTGTGTCACTCTAGTGGCTAAGTCCAACACAGGGTTTCAAGAAATTTCACGTTGATGAAGATTATAGGTGAGATTTACGAAAATCATAATTACCTAAACGAGAAATATATTTCTTTGTGCTTATATGAGGCTGGCAGAAGACGCTTACTCTTCCGGAATACCTGGTTTCATTATCCTTGTACTTTTTTTTCAGGAGTCTCCGCGCAAGTCAATAGAAAAGTGGCCAGTGAGATTATGTGAGCAACCTCCTGTGTTCTAACTCAATCGATATATCTGCCTGCTGTCGACATATTTCACAGAGATACTGAGAACAAACCAATGGAGATCAAAGGCTCTCTAATATACAAACATAGAAAAGGTTGTGAAAGCTGGAAATTGAATTTTTAAAAAATGGAATCTTAATCAACACGTTACAGATTGGTGCAAAGCTGTCCCTAATGGTGTCGTTGTAGGGAAATATCGAGTTCTTCCTATCAGTCCTGGTTAACGAGCAACAGAGATCGAACAGTCCATCTTCCTTACCATTGAAAGATTTGGCACAAGTGAATAGCATCGCACAATACAAACTTATAGTATAGTTCAAACTAAGGTTTGTGAACCGGATGCCTTTTATCAGTATATATATAGCATGGTGTACAGATGAATATCCTACCTGAGAATTTTGCAGAGATGAACAACCACATGTAAAAGTTGTAAATATCATACCTGTAAACGTTGCAGAGAAGCCCAGACATCGGTACGGAAAAGATCCCCTGTCCTTGTACCTACGCAAGGTCGAGTGATATCCACTTTTTGTCGAAGTCTGCCTTCGTACTGTCCTTGATTGATATCACAGCACACAGGCAGAGGGACCAATGCTTTGGACGGCGTTCCGTGTTCCTGATCATCAAGTTCTTTTTCGATCACAGACTTTAGATTTAACACTACACTATGAACGGTGGACAAACGAAGTAAAACTCTGGAATAAATACGATCGAACTCTGCCATTTCGTCTATTAATTTCACCTCATCATTTTTTCTATTGTTGTTTAACTGCTTCTTAATTTCAGTTATATTCAAAACTTTTTCAGCGAAGGTTTCGACTCTCGATTTAAAATCCACAATCCATTTGTTTTTAATTTCATCCGGTTCCATCTTTACAGGGTCGCTTTTAACATTTTGAAATATTGATGGGTCAAACAACAAAATAATCGTCACCAGAGAGCAAACATTCGAACAACGATTCATAGCGATATTATCAGAGTATTAATTACAATCACAAAAAGGTGCACTCCAGCTTATTACGCAGCAGAAAAAAAACACGTATTCTCCAGACCGACACATTACGAAGCTCTGTGTGGCAGAGAAGTGGTAGACTATACACATCGATATTACTTATCGTCTAGATAGCACAAATAATTGCTCAGTGAACGAATACAGCCCGTTGATACTGCTATTGATAAAGTTATATTTCTTGGTAGCGAGATCAAAGCTCCAGAACAGTGATTACACTACTGACAACTCTGGATTTACACACATATTAGTGTTATGTTAGACCGGAAGACGCTTACACTACTGGCAACTCTGGATTTACACACATATTAGTGTTATGTTAGACCGGAAGACGCTTACACTACCGACGACTCTGGATTTACACACAAATTACTGTGATGTTAGACCGGAAGACGCTTACACTACCGACAACTCTGGATTTACACACATATCAGTATTATGTTAGACCGGAAGACACTTACACTACGGACAACTCTGGATTTACACACATATCAGTGTTATGTTAGACCGGAAGACGCTTACACTGCTGACAACTCTGGATTTACACACATATCAGTGTTATGTTAGACCGGAAGACGCTTACACTACTGGCAACTCTGGATTTACACACATATCAGTGTTATGTTAGACCGGAAGACGCTTACACTACTGACAACTCTGGATTTACACACATATCAGTGTTATGTTAGACCGGAAGACGCTTACACTACCGACAACTCTGGGTTTACACACATATCAGTGTTATGTTAGACCGGAAGACGCTTACACTACCGACAACTCTGGATTTACACACATATCAGTGTTATGTTAGACCGGAAGACGTTTACACTACCGACAACTCTGGATTTACACACATATCAGTGTTATGTTAGACCGGAAGACGCTTACACTACCGACAACTCTGGATTTACACACATATCAGTGTTATGTTAGACCGGAAGACGCTTACACTACCGACAACTCTGGATTTACACACATATCAGTGTTATGTTAGACCGGAAGACGCTTACACTACCGACAACTCTGGATTTACACACATATTAGTGTTATGTTAGACCGGAAGACGCTAACACTACTGACTTGTTGGCCGTCGATACCTATTTGCGAGCTAGTGACGATGATGGTGATTTTGATGACATTGAATGTCTAGACTTTCAAGATGAAATGATGAACTTTGAGAGTATTATGACATGTCTAAGGGAATAGGGATCTACTAAAATATGATCTATATCACTACGCAAGTAGAAATGTATCTTTGTATGATTGTGTTGCATGAATAAAGTTAAATATTTTTTTTATTTTTTTTTTAGAGAATATTGGTGTTTCTTTTTTTTCGGTCTGACAGATTTTTTTCCGGTCTGGCAGAAAAATATCTTCACCAGTCCGGATGACTGGCAATTTTTCATCCTTTTCGCGAAGACTGGGTCCCAATTTCGAGACCAATATATATATATATGTCATATTTCCCAAAACGTTTTGAATAATATAAAAAGAAACGGAATAGTACAGTTTAAAACAATGTTGAAAAAAATATTTTTACATTTAAAGAATAATGTAAATGTAAATTGTAGGTCCTACCCTAATTAATCTGATTTCAACCAATGTTTATCTCCCAAATATACAATAAAAACAATTGAATTGGCGTCATGAGTGTACCAATTTCTATGTTTTGGCCTAATTAGATTAAACGAATGCCAAATCTTTTTCATTACAACGGAACAAGCACTAACGGTTCGATATAAGTACTAGTATATCGTTCTACGACTAAATGAACATGGATGAAAAAACAATTTTGCTACCAACAAAGAATACACATGCTGTAATGTAAGATCAGAAACACATATTGTAAGCATTTGTGCATAGTTAATAAATAAGATTCGATTATGTAAAGTATTGGCTAGGTATGATACTGATATGTTTAAATAAAAAGCATTTGCGATAATGTAGAGAATTTTGGCTAATTTTTGATACTGTGATGAAATGGCGGTTTCAGAACTAATCAGTCGAATGTTGTACTGTAGATTGACGTGGACATCATTGTCGAGAGTAAGTGGTGGCCGCCAGATATCTAAGTGGCGGCAGCCGGATAAAATATTTTTCAGTAGTGGCACTCCAGGGCTTCCGTACATTGCGCTCCCTACACGGAATTTTTGCATTATTTTATTACTTCTTCTGCAAAAATGTATCGATTTACAGAAATTATATAGAAGCTTATTTGTGTTAAGAACATCTTTCTTTCATTTATCATTTTCTTTCTTTTATTTTTAGGAAAACTATAAAATATTTTATTTATAAATTTGATTTAATATACCACGTGAGTAAACTTTGACATATGAGATCTTCAATCTTTAAGGCGACCTGCATTCCAGTTCAGACAAACATTATGGCCGACAAAAGACAGTATCAACGGTAACCATGTACCTGTATAGTCGTTATCTGTCCACGACTTGTATTAACTGTCCCTAATCAATCTCGCGTTCAAATCTCACCACACGCCAAGACAGGGTCAGGGTAGAATCAACGCCACTATAAATATATCCAGCGCAGATCCGTTTTATCTGATTTAGAAGAAACAGAGTTGGTCCAACACAATAGAGCTGACCGTCTTGTTGACTTTAAACGGAATTAAATCTTGATGAAATTTCTAAAATAACAAAACATGTTTAAGATATATGTCTGTTATCTTTTCGACGTGTTAAGAAACACATACAACAGAGACGATACTTAAGATAAGTGTTACTCTCAAACCAGTCCCTGATTATTGGAAATGCGTTGTACTTGTTGTCCCAAATACAAGTATTGTATAGGACTTTAACTTTTCCTTCGTCCCTCCCTAATGCCTCACCGACTTTTCGAAATCTACACTTCGGTAAGCGAGGAAAGATATGTTCTGTCCAGTAATTGAGACAGGCTAAATTCTTTTAAAACATGGTACTTCCTGTCCCCTGTTTGGCGTTCAGTTTAACATTAATTTGCAGTAAACGAGGGTTGGTTAGCCTGTTGTCAGTATAATCTTATTGAATTGAGTTTCATCTTGCTGGGTCTAGGTTATAGCATTTCAGTGTGATGGCACTATAAAAACACTTATCAGCATCCCAAACATGCACGCCGACAAAACACCGACTGTCGATGAGACAAAACTAAACAAACGAAAATAGACGAAGGTATATAGGTGAAAAGACATGACCAACCAACCAACCATGAGTGGTGATCTGTTTCGTATGAACACGGCTGTTGTAAAATCGTTAACCTATAAACAACATATCAAAACAATAAACAATAAACAATAAGAAAATACCAACAAGTCAACACAATCATAATTCAAACTCAAATTTAATAAAACAAGGGCAAAATATGAACAAAAGACAGATTTACAGCGAGACTCCTGAAAAAGTACAAGAAGAAGACCAGGGCCCGTGTTCATGAAACCATTCTCATGCTCCAGCATAGATTTTGTGTTCAAGCAAACTTTTTTATATATCATATAAAATTATACAAATATCAAATACAAATATTGAATATAGCTTTGACTTGAAGTCCTTTCAAAATTGGTTTTAAGTCTTCGGCAAAATCAGCCTTATTTATCAAATTTTAACTTAAACAAGACATAAGACTTAAGCACAAAATACATGCTTCAGCATGAGAACGGTTTCATGAATACGGGCCCAGGTGTTCCGTTAGAGTAAACGTCTTTTGCTTCATCGACGATATCTTCTTTTGAAACCCTTTGTTACGAGTTTGTCCGTCAGTTGATGAACGTAGATTCTGAAGAATTTTGAAGAGCTTAAGACCAGTCCTGAAATTCCAGTCCTGACAGATGTCTTTCAGGTTATTGATTTTCATTATCTGTGCCTGACACCATTCTAAACTATGGAATCATCTTTATATTTGTTTAACAACAGATTACTTTTGTAAGGTTATTGACATATCAAAGGGAACAAACTCATCCGTGGCTGACTTTTGCAAAGAGATAGCGACAACTTTATCAACTCCATTTATTTCTCTATTACAGATTTTTTGTAGTGATAAGTAATATTCTTTCTGTCTTCAAATTACAAGACGTTTACAATTTACTCTACTTTTCGCCGGTTACCTAGATCCTACACATATGAAACATCAAAGAAATCACCGGTGTGTTAACAATACTGATGAAACGAGGACAAAATATGAACAAAAGACATATTTAACATGGAAACTTCTGGAAAAATACAAGGAGAAAAAGACCAGGTGTTCCCGAAGTATAAGCGAACTCTACTTCATCGACGACACCCGACATGTAAACCTTGGTCAATCCAAGAAAGTAATGTCACATTCTCAAATTAGAGCTCAGTAAGCAACAACTGAACCACTAAGCACACAAAGCACTAGAGACACTTAACGAAGAAGAGGAATAAACAATATGAGAGTCTACTATCAAGGGTACTAAACAATAGACAGTTTACCACGAATAGCAATTTACAGGGACAGTTAACGAGGAAGAGCACTACACAATAGGGACAGTTAACGAGGAAGAGCACTAAACAATAGGGACAACATACAACAAAGAGCACTAGACAATAGGGACAGTTAACGAGGAAGAGCACTACACAATAGGGACAGTTAACGAGGAAGAGCACTTAACGAGGAAGAGCACTATACAATAGGGACAGTTAACGAGGAAGAGCACTACACAATAGGGACAGTTAACGAGGAAGAGCACTACACAATAGGGACAGTTAACGAGGAAGAGCACTACACAATAGGGACAGTTAACGAGGAAGAGCACTACACAATAGGGACAGTTAACGAGGAAGAGCACTACACAATAGGGACAGTTAACGAGGAAGAGCACTACACAATAGGGACAGATCACAATACAATAGGGACAGTTCATCACGAAGGGACAGTTAACGAGGAAGAGCAATAGACAATAGGGACAGTTAACGAGGAAGAGCACTAGACAATAGGGACAGTTA